CTTTCTTGTAAGAAATCTCTCTGACTTCCTTGCCCCATTCCCCGCTCCCTCTTTCGCCAAAGCCAGGGACCGCCGTGAAAACACAACTCCTCCTTAATAAGCAGGAGCAGCAACAACAACAATAAAAATCACTTCAAAGCAACAAAATAGGGTATATTCAGCCCTGCTGGCACAGTGGGAGGGTGGAGAATAACTGGTATTTTCACACTCAGCAATGGGCAGCAAATTAAGTTTGGCTATTTATGTCTAATGCACCAGGTGGGACCTTTTGACTTATAAGTGGTTGAATCTCATTAGAGAAATTTGGGCCTGCGCTTAGCCGACGTAAGGGACGTGGTGGCTCAGGGGCTAAGACGCTGAGCTTGTCGAATCAGCAAGGTCGGCAGTTCGAATCCCCAGCTCCGTGTAAGGGAGTGAGCTCCCATTACTTGTCCCAGCTGAACGGAGCAGTTTGAAAGCACGTAAAAAAAAAGGCAAGTAGAAAAATAGGGACCACCTTTGGTGGGAAGGGAACAGCGCTCCGTGCGCCTTCGGCATGTAGTCACGGCAGCCACATGACCATGGAGACGTCTTCGGACAGCGCTGGCTCTTCTTCGGCTTTGAAAGCGAGAGGAGCAGCGCCCCCTAGAGCTGGAAACGACTAGCATGGATGTGGGAGGGGAACCTTGACTTTTACCCAACATGACTCGACCATAAAGCCCAGATCATCCCTTGGCTGACTGGAGGAGGCTTCAGGGGGGAAAGGTGTTCCCAGCCTCTATTTGCCGCCACCTGCCCCGCGCACCTGGCATGCAGAGCGGGGAAGACAGCAGAGGCTGGCGAGAAAGAAGAAGGGTGAGTTTGCCAGGTGGTTTGAGCCTCCGAATGCCCACCTAACAGAAGGTTTAGTGCCAGGATTTAGCCTGAGCCCGTGGAAATCTATTTTTAAGCTTCCGCGGGAGAGGAATTAGCAGGGAAGGGGATCCAAGGGGCAGGATTTATCACCCTCCGAAGAGAAGAAGGAAGGACAGAGTTCAGGCCATCTGGTTTCTTTAGCATCTGCGGCTTACTGCAGCGCCAGAATGCATCAGTGCTGTGTGTACAAGGAAATGGGCGTTTACTAAGTTATCTAAACCGGGTGTTCTCAAAGCGTGAACTGTGTGGCTGAAGAGTTTATAAGTTATGCCAGGGTCACGTGATCAAAATTCAAACCCTTGGCCACTGACTCGTATTTATGACGGCTGCAGTGTCCCCCAGGGTTGTGGGATCCCCTTTTGTGACCTTCTGACGAGCAAAGTCAAGGGGGAAAGCCAGATCCACTTAACAACTGAGTTATTAACTTAGCGGCTGCAGTGTTCACTTAACGACGGTAGCAAGAAAGGTTGTAAAATGGGGCAAATTTCATTTAGCAAACTTCTTTCACTTAGCAACAGATATTTGGGGTCTTGGTTTGCCATCGTAAGTCGAGGACTACCTATAAAGACGGTATGGCTTTTTGTCGACTCCCTCTGAGCCGATATATAAAAATACTCTGTTCCAGTGGTGGTATTCAGCCGGTTCGCACCGGATCGGGCAAACCGGTAGCAACGATTTGGCGTGGGTTGCCAAACTGGTAGTAAGTTCTGGCTGGCCATGCCCCCGACCTGGTCGCCCTCCCGCCCGATGCTTGCTCACCCCGCCCGCCTGACGTGCGCCTAAGGCCGCGATGGTGAACCTGTGGCACGCACGCAGAGCCATTTGTACTGGCATGCAAGCCGCAGGCAAACTTACCTCATTGCACATGCGCGCGCCTCACAGCTGATTTTTTTTTTCAGCTGGTTTGAGGCCTTTTTTGGCCTCCCAGAGGTTTGGGAAAAGCCTCTGCAAGGCTTTTCAGGACAAATTATAGGCCCGTTTTGACACTTCCTGTAACACCGGAAATGACAAATGGGCCTATAACTCACCCTGAAAAAATTCCCAAGCCTCTGGGAGGCCAAAAAAGGCCTCAAACCAGCTGAAAAAGGTTTGGGAAAAGCCTCTGCAAGGCTTTTCAGGCCAAATTATAGGCCCGTTTTGTCACTTCCTGTAACACCGGAAATGGCAAATGGGCCTATAACTCATCCTGAAAAAATTCCCAAGCCTCTGGGAGGCCAAAAAAGGCCTCAAACCAGCTGAAAACAAAAAACAGCTGTGAGGCGCAGTGCAGGTAAGTGGGTGGCAGGGGGGGTTGAGTGTGCATGCGCAGGTGTGGGGAGGGCCACGCATTGGATTCTGGGTGATGGCATATGAGTGTGTGTGTGCGCTGGTGCGCGCGCAATTTTTGACGCAGGAGCCCAGAAAGGTTAGCCACCACTGGCTAAGGTATTTCTTTCTTTTTTTTCCCTCCCAACAATCAGCTATGCCGGGATTCCCCTTGCTGAGGCCCAAGAAGGCAAAAAATGGCTCAGGGCCCCCCCCTCCATTTTTTGCCTCATGGGAGCAAAGACACCTGCCCCAGAGGCTCTTCTGAGGCCAGGAAGCTCCCAAAATGGAGCATGGAGGGGTGCTGCGAGCCCCTCCCATGCTCTGTTCCTTTTCTTCCTCAGCCTCATAGGAGCCTTAGGGAAGCCAAAATGCCCCCCCCCCTTAAGAGGCTCCTCGGAGGCCCAGAAGGACCAAAAAACGGGTGGTGGGGTGGCTGCAAAAAAGCAAAAAAAAAAAGCCACACCCACCCAGTCACATGGCCACGCCCACCAAGCCATGCTCACAGAATCGGTAGTGAAAATTTTTTGAATCCCATCACTGCTCAGTTCATTCGGGGCACCATGTCCAAAGGGGGTGGGAGGTGGGTGGGAAACATGATTTCCATTTGTAATCGAGTTATGATAGCAAGAGCTGTGCCCAACCAAAGAGAGCTTCTGCGGCAAGGAGCAGTCTACCTTGGGAAAATGCGAAGAAAGCTCTGGAGCAGGGCCCTGAATGCCAGAAACCTTTGAAACACCAGCAAGAACGGAACTGGAGGCGAGAAAGAAATGACGCCAGAAAGAGAGAGAGAGAGAGACACACACACACCACACGCACACAAGTGAATGTCAAATTCTGTGTTTTCTTTTCCAACAGTCTCAAAAAAAAAAGAACACGGACACGCAAATTCCACAACCGAGGACGGGTAACTCAGGAACGCGGGAGGGAACAGCCAACTCCAAAATAATAATAATAATAATAATAATAATAATAATAATAATAATAATAATAATAATAATAATAATAATAATA